CCCCGCAGCCGAAGCCCCCGGCAAGACGGACACTTAAAGGCTATGCTGCATGTGTGTGCCTTGTAAACAAATACTTTACAAAGGAAACTCCCGCAGAATAGATGCAACGCACCCGCAGAATAGACGCAATGCACCCTTAGCATCAGCGCACTGTGTCCTGGGCGGGGGCGCGGAGGGCGCGGAGGGCGCGGAGCAGAATAATAACACTAATAATGCTAATAATAAGAAGAAAGCGTGCAATTCTTTGGACCGGCCTCTCCGCTTGGCTCGCGTCTTTGGCAGGCTGCTGCGCCTCTCCAAAGGGTCTACCAAAGTCGCCCCGACTTGAGTGCGAATTTTAATTTGCCTGATTGCAAAAACCGGAACTCCAAGCCCAAACCCCGGATTCAACCTTTCAGGCCTTCCAGGTGAGTGGCAGAGACCACCCTCAACAGCAAAAATCTAGGGTTGAGGGGTTTTGGCGTTTTGGCTTTCGTCTCTCGCGCTGATCTTGACACCTGCACCCTCAATCGGAGCTTTTAAACTAAACCCCAATAGGGGGGTCACTCATGGCCGAGTGCAGCTGATGCAAAATCGAGGTGCAGGAGCCCATAGTGTCTCCATTGCCAGTGGGGGTACGAAACTGAGGCTGGAAACGACATGTTTCCCTTTAGGAGGGGGAAAAGGCTTTGGGATCTGGCTGATTCCGTGGCAAGGTGTCAGGGTTTTTCTGGGCTGAAAAACCTCGCGCGCATGGAAGAGTCTCCAGGGATCGGCTTCATTTGCTAGTTACTGCATTGCCCCATTAAAAACAGTTAAAGGACTCTCTATGTACTGGCTGACAGGATTACTTAACGCGCAATGCACACTACTTGTTCACTGTTCACAATCACAACTAAAACCAATAACCCTCGAATGCCCGGCACCTAAAATCAACACTCATTTAAATTCGGTCTGAGGGCCGAAGTGCTGATTCTATCAGATTTGTTGTTGATCTGCTGGTGAAAGGCTCAGCTTCCTGTCTGTCGGGTGCAGGAGTCGGGGCGAAGGCTTTCGGCTGAGGGTGGACTTCTGGAGCGCGCCTCTTCTGCTGGCTGTTTGTCAGCAGTCTCCTGGGGCCGAAGGCTCCACGCTTAATGGCTTGGCTCTGGCTTGTAGCGGGATTTGCGGCCGTGTCATGTTTGAAAGCATGGGTTGGTTGGTTTGATTTTGCCAGGGCTGAGGCCAACATGCTCGGAGATTGAAACATTTTTGGCTTGCTTTGTGTTGGCATTGTCATGGCGGGCTTACATCAGAGACAACACAGGCCTCCTTGCTTTGCTCAGCCTGGAAAAATGTTTCCACCCCGTCCTCATATTCTGGCTGTACTGACACTGTGCATATGGTGGGGGGGAGGGGGGGAGGGAGGGGGGGGATGCATTTTTAGCCTGTGAACGAGACATGCCGTAGCTTACCGTATCTGGAAACTGACATGCTGTATCCTACCGTATAGGCAACCTGCCAAGAGAGGCAGGCGGCCCTGACAAACCAAGGCCCTGTAGGGCTGTCTTCCTACTGAGAGGATTTGATCCTTTTTTGATTCGTTCTTGATCCTTGTTTGGTGATGAGCTTTGATTCTTATCCCATCCGCGACCGTATAACCAAATACCTCATCTTGACATGCTCGACAATTGTGCCCTCTGTTTAAAGCCGATGCTCCGGACGGTTTACTGTCGATGAAGCCCCAGCCCCAACTCCCCGCACAAGCTCAGATCTCTAACCCTAAAAGTCTCGATTAGCATCCCGGCCTACAAGCCCACAGAACTCTTCCCTGAAACTCCAGAACCCTAAACCTTAAACCGCAACTCCGGTGTCCTTGACCTCGGCCCTGGCTCTTCTAGCCCAGCGCTTCGGGGGTTCGAACGCATCCTGGCACCGGGCTTCCAGGGTTAGCGTTGAGGTTTAAACCCTCCCTGCAACGGCATCATAGCCAATGACTCGAGGCCCTGGGGCTTCTGTCCATTGTGCAAACAGTGTAGGTATGCCTGCTTATAGAAGCTCCTAGTCAGATTGTTGGCAAGGCCCACGTCAGTCAGAAAACTCTGCGCCCAAAGCCTGAAACCCCTTGTTGCACGGTTTGCGCAATCAAGCAGGCGTCACTATGGCGGCGCCATCAACTGTCATCCGCTTGTGGGTGTCGCACGGCAAGCTCAGGCTTGTGGCGGGTTGTGGATTCGTGGCTAGGGTGCGAAGTGTTGGCGGTGGCTCAGGGGTTAAGGTGCTTCATGAGTCTGCGCTAGCAGTACTTGCTGACGGCCAAAGCTCCTCGGCCCTGCCAACTTCAACCGAATCCTGGTTGTGTAGAAGCTACGAAGCGCAAGCGAGCGGATGCGGCGGGGCTAAGAATCTCGGAGCCCTTTATTTAAGAAGTTGAGCTTCGAGGCACAAACTTCCCTCCACTACCGCGTTAGGATGTGCATAAGCCCAAGAACCCAAAACCCCGCACACGAGCCAAGGTTCAGAAGCTTGGGGTCGGGGTTCTCAAGATAAGAAAACCCTAGCCCTGAGCCCGCAACCTGGGGCTTGAGGTTGAGAAGGGGCTGGCAGGCTGAGCCATGAATTCCCGATGTTCTACGGCCAAGCACATTTTGGACTGGAGATCGCCCGGTCGTTCGGAAAAGTTCTCGCGAGCTACACGGTTGGATGGTTGAAAAATCGCAGTGGAGCTGAGTCCGACTCTCCACACCTCGAGCTGGTGTGGCAACTTAGCCATGGCAGATGCCGCAGTGCCCACACCCGAAGGTTGAACAGCCGTCCATTGAGCATTCACTTTCAACATCCTTGATCAATCCTTTCTCAACACCTCCAAGACTACTTGTCGCGGATGACTGAACAGTTTACATCGGAGCATGGCTGATGCGGTTTGCTTCTAGAACAAAATCTGCACCATTCACTAAGCCAACAACAAAAACCCGAAGCTACTAAGCCACCCAAACCCTAAAACCTTGAAACATCGAAGCAGTTTGAGCTTGGGCGTGTGTCTTCAGCCTTCAGGTGGCTTGCAAGGCGTTGCTGCAGCTCGGCCCGACAGGCTTGCTGTGGCTTGCTTATCGGTGAGCATGGGCCTCTCTGCAAACCGAAGTGTCGAAGCTTCAGCAATATGCCCGGAGATCCAATGCGTAGAAAATATCGGGCGTACCCTACTGAGGCACCCTGAAGACAACATCCCGCGCCATGTCGGGAGCACATCCTTGAGACCTGAGCCCTCTAGAGCTTCCAGCTCCCTGCTGTGCCACCCCCAGACGCCACCCTGAATCCCTGTAGATGGAGCTCCTGATAAAAAGAGAGCTTTGCGAATCGCTTCTACAGGCAACGCTCCGTAGGCGTAAGTGAGTTATCGTGGCAAGAACGACGGACCCCGTGGTGGGCCCGAGCTGCGCGAGGGTCTCCAAAAAACATGGTTGTGACATCCTCTCGACTGCAAGGCCATAGTCTACAGTCAAAGTCGTTCCCGATTCCACGCAAGCCTGGACACATGTTTGAGAAGTGAGATTGAAAGAGTCGAAATCTCCTCAGGCCAGACCTATCCATGACGATTCAAACCTGGCGAGCACAACTGGTATAGCCCAGGATACTCGAGGCTCTTGGTGCATGTCACAAGGCACAAGTGACAATCGGCAATCCGGCAGAGAATCTTTATAAATGATATAGCACAAGCTAAAAGATCTCACAACCAAGATTGTTGTTTGTGCCGTTACGGAACAAACCATGGAAAAGTAGCCGAAATATGTAGCTGCTGCTTACTGCAACGGCTGAGGAGTGACGAAGCTCATATCGACATGCTGACCGCAATGACGGTTCAGGCGCTCGGGCTGTGCATGGTGATGATAGCAGTGGTGGCAGTGACCAGGATGAGGATTAGGATGAGAAGTATGATGATGATGATGATGATGATGATGATGTTTTGACAACAACGACGACGACAAGCTGATGGGGACAACTGTGACGACGATTGTGATGCTTTGATCCTTACTGCGGCTTTTGGTCTGAAGAGATTTCTGACTGAAAAGTCACAAAATTAGAGCTGTCAGCCTCACCAGCTGGATAACGGAACCTGCACAAGCTTTCACATTGTTCTGGACATTGGTTTGCGAGGCGCTATCTTTTCCAGAGTTTGGGGGTTTGGGGGGCATTGATCGTTTGCAAGTTATTGGGGAAAATCTGAACACCGAATGTAACAACCCTGTCACGTGCCACCGAACTCAGGTCTGTTCGTAACAGCTGGCCCATTGTAAGCCTAAGAGTATGGGCCACATCATGATTGTACCACCTGCCCCTCAATTGACAAGATGTCACCGCGAGCTGTTGTTGCCCTTGCTGTAATGCTCCTTTGCCAGCTAAATCCCCATCTAGAGTCTAGAGGGTTGCAATGAGAGTATGACGACTTGCCGATTGCTGTTGGCAGTGGGGACAGTATTTTGAACCGTGATCGGACGCCTAGCATGCAACTCGTCATGGTCGGCTCAACAGAGGATATGACTGCATGCTCACCCCCCCCCCCCCCCCGCCCCCCCTTGATCTGCCGTGGTAGATGTGGGAGGTCCACTGGGATTTTAGGTGTCGTCCATAACGCAAGTTGATTGAAATTCGAACTTGTATTAGCAGACCACACCCTAAGAAATCCTCATCTGGGCTTCTGTCGTAGTTACTTCTAATGTAGATTTCATATTCAACAGGGAGGAAGGGCTTTTGAAAAGCCCAAATCTTCGTTCATCTTTACATCTACTTAGAACTTTGTGTTAAGAAGACACACCCTAACTTCTGGGCTCCAAATTCTATCGCAAAACTCATCGCATATAAAGGAAGAACAGAGAACCTATCAATTTTTTCGAGGTTTCCAAGAGGAAAGCCCGACGGTAGACCATGGGTGGGTGGGTGACCGACTCTATATTGAAAGCGTTTCTACATGTTGTTCTATGCCAGGCATCTTCATGCATGACCAGTGGCTTCAACACAAGCCCTGCGAGAAAGGCCTTGTGAACTCAATGCTTGCCCTGGGAACCATCGGACAGCACGCCGGTCTCACCCTTGAGGCACCTTTTCACAAGCTGGTTTCGGAGTTGGGTTCTGGGGTTCTTAGTAATTGCGATTCTCTGCAATACAGCCTTAGCAAGTACAAGAAGCGACTAAGCATTCTCATGCGTGGAATTGTCGAGGGGTGGCTTCAAGGTGCGTGTGCGATGCAGTGCTCAAAACACAACAACCTTCAAACACACACTCCGACAATCCGAGCTCTGAACCTTCAACCCTAAACCCTAAACCCTAACTCCCAAACTCTCAACCTGGAAGTTTACGCTTGCTTCGGTGAAGCTTGCGATCAGTACGTGCTAGGACGCGCACTTCTCCGCGCAGGACTTCACGTTCTCGGCCTTGGCGCACGCTCTCATGGCTAGGTCCCTCCTGTACTGAACCAGCTGAATGCTGTGTGGACCTCCATTTTACAGTCCCCCGTAACAACCCCCATGACTTCTAGACCCTACCAGAACGCATAAACCGACAAACCAAAAGATTGCGAGAGGAGAACCAAAGTCCAAAACTGCAGACATGACTCAAACTCAAAAGAGGCATGTTCAGCAACACTTTAGCGTTTGGGGTTCTCAAGCTGCTCCAAGGAATCGTGTTTTGTAGTTTTATGTGGACAAGACCTTTGGCCAGGCAGACATAGAAGGGAAAGCGTATCTGCAAGCTGTCTATTGCAGTGCTTTCCATACCATTTCCATGCTCACCGGATAAGGAGCTGCGGCGCTTGACTTGCAGCGCTTGAGTGCTCGTACTTGCAATAACGCACACACTTGAGTGCAATGATTTCTACCATTACCACAAGACTTGTGGTAAGTGACCTTTCGATGCCAGCATTGATTACTTCAGATTAGCGAAGGCTGTGCCTCAGTGAAGGTTGTGCAGTAGTGGTCAGGCCTGTTCACGCAGTAAAAGCCGATTGCCGCGACTGCGTACTCTTCCCTGCCTTCATTTGCCTGGAGAAGGCAAGGAGAAGGCCCCGACTTTGGGTTGGACTATCTACTTGGGAGCATCCAAGTCCTGTCGCTGCAAGTGCAGGTGCATACCTCTGTGAACCCATCCAATCAACGTAACTTCGTTGGCATGGCTAGGCCCCCGAGGATGTGCCCGCCCGACCGGAGTCACGAGTGGTAAATTTCGAGTTGCACGTTACACACACATACAACACAGTGTGTCCTGGTCTTCGTAAGAAGGACAAAAGAACTTAGGACCAGCCCGGGTGGGTTCAGAAAAGGAGTGTTCTGTAAGTGTTGCTTGCTGCTGTTCAATGGTTTGATCGACATCCGCAACGGAAATCCTGCACATCTGAACCGATTGGCCTACAACAAAGGCCCTGTAAGACCGCCAAGCACTGAAACCCGATAAGCCTGATGCACTGCCATAGTATCTTAAACCCCAAACCTAAAACCCTAAATCCTAAATGCAAAGACCTCTAGGCTTCGACCCTGAAACCGAGGGGCGGAGAAGCCGAACTTCTCCAGGCAGGTGCCGCCCGGCGCAGAAGCCCCGAAGACGTTGATGCCCACCTTGGTTTTTAAACTTTGGGAACACTGGAGCTGTGGGCAGGCCCTTTTTTCATGTTGAGGACGTCAGCCTGCTTAATCGATTGGTGCAGAGTCTTTATGCGCAGAATTCGACCATAGCACAAATTGTGTTCCCGCCCCCCTGCAGGCACCGCCATCTTTTGGCCGTGCGCTATGAGAACTCAGGAAAGATCCTATGTTACATGGACTTCAGGGGCCAGTAAATTCAACTACAAGGCCCATGCTAGTTGCTATCAGTATTATTAGCATACATTTGTGAATGAGCGAAGCGAAGGAACCCCAAACCAGAATTAGTAAAGGGTTTTTAGGCCCTTAATAATGTAATGACTGGAGCGCCCAAAACGTCTTTTATTGCGGGGCACGAATATGAGACTGAAAGACAACTCAACTTTTTTTCTATTGAACGTACGAGGAATGGATGAGGCATGAAATTCAATGTGGAATTTGGGAAGAGGAGCTCATTCAGTCTTTGATTCTGTTCTTAGCGCGCAGATGAAGAATAGTTCAACATCTACTGAGCGAAACGAACAAGGACCCCATCAACTTGCTTCGTGAGGATCCTGCTGCGACAGTCATGTCTCGAGGGGCCCGCATGGCTAAGCTGTTGAGGTTTCTCTCTTAAGTTTGGCTGAAGACTCCTACGACATTGTGGCATTGCTGGAGACACACTGGAACGGGATTAGCAGAACTTGACGTTGAAAGCTGGAGCTCCGCTTCCTCGGCGCACACCAGGGTCGTCAACGCGCACCCGAGTCCAAAGCTGGGACCGGGCATCATCCACAATCCAAAGCCAAGTCGACAGAGCAAAAAGGGACGAGCGAAGCTCGACCACCGGATGATCATCGAGCGGATGGAGTCACGATATTGATATTGGGGGTGTTCCCCCTCAAAACTAGCAGCACCTTGTACACGAAGCGCAGGACTGGCAGTCAGGGCACCGAGGCCAGGCCTCCTTCTTCTTGCTGCTGCTGCTGCTGCTGCTGCTGCTGCTGCTGCTGCTGCTGCTGCTGCTGCTGCTGCTGCTGCTGCTGCTGTACCCCTTCCGCAGAAAAAAGGAAAAAACAAATCTTCGCACCCATCGTCCTCGGCGTCTCGTGTTCGTTCGTTGCTAGATGCCTAAGGCCTATTTTTGAGCAAGGGGAAAGATAACCGAAGAAAGAAGAACACGCTTGCACATCGCGGTCATCCTCAACCCGATTCAATCACCTTTGCCCTGAGTCGCTCGCCTGGGCTGTGGAGAACTCCCCCCAGCCGGAGGTAACCGCTGCCTCTGCGAACTGATCTTGGGTCCGAGTTGGCTTTTAGGGCTTCGAAGTCGGCATTCAGACCCAAACCTCAACACAGTCCACGGTGCCACATGAATCACAGGGCCCTGAATGCTGAAAGAGGGGCTCCCTTGCTCTAGATTTTACCCAGTAGGTGGCCCAGAGTTCAGAGTTCAAACCCAGGAATTTCATTCGAAAAGGACCCAAACCCCCACCATCCCAAGCGTCCAAACATCTTGAAGACCTCAGCTCTAAGCCCTCCTCATCCCTGCCTCCACGCTCAAGGTGGGCACTCCCTTCGGCAGCAGAGACTCCTTCACAGAGTGTTGTTCAGGGAGCTCAGGACCGTTTGGACTTCTCTTGGAGGGTTGGGAGGGGGGGGGGGGGAGGGACAGGCAAGAGTGGAGGTGGAGGGTGGAGCTGAGGAGGGGCGAAAGAGGGTAGGACAGGGAATGGAGAGGGGTTTAGGGTTTAGGGTTTAGGGTTTAGGGTTTAGGGTTTAGGGTTTAGGGTTTAGGGTTTAGGGTTTAGGGTTTAGGGTTTAGGGTTTAGGGGACTGGGCTTTTCGGCGCCAAGCTTGGGGGTTCAAGGGTTCGGTTTGACTTGGACTGTTCGGGACGGAGATAGGAAACTTCCTACCCAAGGACCGAATTGCTACGCCCTAGGCCATAAGTAAACACAGACATGCACGTTGAACGTTGTGGGCCTTCAGAGGTTGGGCGAAGCCTTTACTGGTGACGCTGGTGACGGGTTCGCAGCTGCGCAGGCTTTGTAGGTTGTTTGGGAATCGCCGCGGCGAAGTCTCAAACGTCATCGCTGCTCCCAGGACAACCCAGCACTCCTCCTCAAAAGTCATGCTTTCTGCTACCATCGCGTGATATTCCACTTCGCCAGTTCGCCCGGTTCACTTTCTCATGGCAGCGATTTGATCGTGCTGTGGCAAGCGAACTCGCTGCCCGGCGAAGCTACAAATTAAGTTTGCGGATGGGCCTCAACTCCTCCAGCGCCCTGCTGCAATGCCAGAAAATCGCCAAAATGCTAGAAGGCTGTAGGGCTTAAGTGCCGCTTCCTTGTAGCTGTCTGACTGGGCGCGGAAGACTTCCACGGAGGGCATGGACACCACGCGAACCTGGCTTGGCGGGGACAGGAGTGTTCGGAGTTTGGTTGAGGATTCGTCCTGAAATCTCAGAATCTCCAGACTTGGGCATCTGACTTGCAAGCACACGCACATGCGCATGCGCACACACACACACCTATCTGCCTCTTCATTCAAGAAAACCTTGACTTCCTGTAGGGTATTTTGCGACATTTTTTGAAGAAGGGATGACGCACCTCCGCTCTACAGCATTTTTCTAGCAGCCTTCCGAAACCTGGCCTTCGCGTCCATCGACTTGGCAGCCTCCACGCAGATGTGGACCTGCCAACACACCAGAAGGGCAAGCATGTCCACACATTTAGGTGGAAGTACGGTGTGTTCTTGAGTATCTGGGAGTGTGGGAGCTTTTGAGGTCGTGTGGTTTTCGGTGGAAAGGCATGAACATTGGGAAGCGCAAATCTCAGGCAATGTCGGGACCGGCTCTGCGCAACAGCGAAGTTTAGGAGGTGCACTACTCCATGACTCGCACGGGGCATGCGACAACTTGCAGCCTTGGGAAGTTGTCGGCGTGTGGATAAGAAAGTGTACTGGCACCGAGACAACTGATTTCACACCCCAGCAAGCCCTCATCATACGTCACCGCGCGTGTGTACTTCTGACTTCTGGGAATCCAAAAGCGCTTGGACACACCTCAGAGCCAGTTCCGATGATGATGACCTCCGGATCTTTGCACTCAACAACCTCGTAGGCACCTGGAGAGCTGAGGCAAAATTCCTAAACCCAAACCCCACCACGTCAAAGCATTTTCAGCCACAGTGTCCGGCACCTTCTGCGGGGGATCGTGCCAAGCGTTTCTGGGTCTGAATTTCCGCCGAGGCCTCGTTATAGGTTGTCAGAACAGGCACCCCCCTCCTAATCCTCCCCCAAACGCAAAGCCACACGTCGTACCCCTTTTTTTAGCTGCAATTGCTTCTCGGATTTCCGAAGTAACTCAGCTTTACATGGTCATCACGATTGGGGGTCAAGAAACCTTTTACGTGAACGCCCAAGAACTTTACTAAACCTACACGCGCACCCAAAGACGATCGAGGATGGCACCCTTCAAGGTGTTCTCGATGGATGAGTTCGGGAGATTTGGCAGCGCCTGTGGGAGCAGGCAGATCTTCTCGGATGATTTCACGGCTTCCGAGGGTGAGGTACCCACTCTTGACTCTTGCGCTACAACCCGTGCTTCTCAGGACTGGCATCCTGTGCTTGGAGAGCGGTGATGCGAGTTAGGTTGTAGGTGTACCTATTTCATGCACCCCGAAAGTTACGATGAACCATCCTAATTGGCTTAGCACACAACAAAAACTCTGCGCTGAAGTGAGCGCGACGTATGCCAGGTTGTGGGTTCAAAACTTCAGTTCTGGCTCAACCCCCCTACTTTGGAGTAGACCCTGGAAAACAAGTATATACTTTCAGGTATACGTAGCTTTAATTGGAACCCAGAACCAAAAAAAGTATTGGAGTATTGTACTCCAGAACCCAGACCCTTAAAGCTTCGTGAGACCGAATTGGATGCTGGTGGAATGGGCCCGGACATGTGGCTGGGGACGAGCCGCAGGGGATGCCGGTTCAGGTAGCGACTTGACACTCTTTGAAGCCAGCAAGCAGCATACATCTTGGGCCAGGAAAAACCGGAGAACCCTCCAGTCACCCAAAGACATCGACCCCTGGACAGCTCCTCTGCCTGCGGCACAATTACATCTTGTATTAATTCTGTATCCCAGCGCTCTGGTTGTGATGCTTTGTCTGGTCTGCACAATAAACACCACAATTGACAACCTTCTGCAGGTCTGAGCCCAAGCCACAAAAGCCCAAACATTGAGTCCTGAGCCTGTCCATGTCAATGGCGCTACACACACACACAGACCTACTAGTAACTGTACCTAGGCTAGGCATCGTAAAGAACATCCCAAGCACCACCGGAGCCAACCCCGATGTATTCATGCGTGTTCCCGTGCCTGCCGAGAGAAAGCCATCATGGTGGGCCGAGACTCGTTCTTGGAGCGCTCCACGGCGTACCTTACAGCGGCTTGAGGGCTTGGGTGCGGTAACTCACGAGGGCAGCCGTCGATATTTTCAAGGGCTCGTTTACGCACGGTGCAAATAATGGGGTCTAAGAGTCGGGATTTGGCAGGCCCGAGCCCAAGCCCAAACCAAGCGCTAAACTCCTTTGACTCTCAGTGAAGGCTCACAACCCTGGGGAGCCTTAAACTTTTGCAGCACCAAGGACACAGGGTTGATATGGCTCCCAGCAAGGTACCCTAAACCCTAAAACATAGAGCCTGAAGCCTTAAACCCTAAACCACAAAATGCCACAAGGCCCGCACTTGTAGGCGCCAGCGGTCTCATTGCCGTCCGCTGGGCGCATGACCTTCGTATAGCCATTCGGGAGAGAGAATCACGAGGGCTTAGGGTTTTGGTTTTAGGGTTCAAGGGTAAAGGGTCTGGGATGTCGGTGCCCGTGCCGAACTTGGAAGCTGACGGTCCTCCTGATTCCACTGTTCGGTTTGCGCAAAAAAAAGGACACCGACGAAGGAGGGTGGTCATGATGAAGCGAAAGGTTAGGCAATGGTCGCACAAGACTTTCCTGTCAATCTTTGGTGTTTCGCAGGTTACCCCCCCAAGCCCTAAACCCAGATCTGACAAAACAGGACATCTTCCCCCGCAGCGGCCCTGAGGTTCGGGCTGTGAGATCAGGAATGAGACGCCTGGGCACAAGGGCTTTCCGGTTTCAAGTAACCCTGAACCCTTAACCAAAGTATTTTAAGGCTCTCAGGAAGCCCCTCAAGCCGAATCACGCAACCCACATACTGAGATCCGAAACCTGGAGCCACTACTGGTTGGCGCCCCCAAGAGGCACCCAAGGCGATCTGGAAGTGCCTTTTGGAAGCACTGTCGTGACTGTTTCTGTTTTAATGAAGAAGTGGTGCCCTGGGGGCTTTCGGAAGGAGTGGCATGCAGATCTTCATGAAGGCTTTGATGGGCGGGAACTTCAGAGTCACAATCTCAAGGCCAATATCCAAGAACGGGAGGCCGCCCCTCCTGATCAGCAGGGCTTGACTGTCGCTGGCGAGCCATTAGAGGGTAGCCGTAACTTGTGTCGTGCAACTGTTTAATGGTGACTTGGTCCTTGCACTGACCTTTGCTGCCCAGACAGAGGATTGCCAACGCTTGGCTGGCAAGCCCTTGCACGACAATGAGGAGGAAAATCTTGCAACCAGGCGTGCAGCGGCATGAGCATGAGCCTTGGTAAGATGGAGGAGGCTGTGCGTTTCGTAAGGCCGTCGCCTTCATGCTACAACCGATGAGGCGGACGGAAGTTGCAACCAGGCGCGCGTGTCTGGCAAAATGGAGAGCGATGAGAACTTCGACTTGCTTCAAGACGATGAGGCGAAAGGCCCTTGAAATCAGAGGAGTGCAACAGTATGAGCCAGACCACAGGCATCTATATCGGCAGCAATGAGTTTTGGCAAGACGGAGGGCGTTGCGTTTGACAGGAGCTTCGCCTTCATGCTACCAGATGACGAAGCGGATGGCCCTTGCGATGGGGGCATGAGCCATAGAACTGGCATCCACACCGAAATCATGAGCCTCGGCGGGAACGGGGGGGCGATGGAGTGAAGGCTTTTCGCTATTGTATAAGTGGTGGAGATATCACCCTCCTGTCATGCGGCGCCCACGGTAAGCAAGCCGCAGGGGTGGCCTCAATTGCTGTCCTTGAAGGATCTCCCTCCCTTGGTTACCCCCTTGACCCCGAAAGGAGCGACTCAGAGCTTGATGTGCAGCTGCTGAGAGTACGTAAGCTTCATGTGTTGCTTGGTTGTTAATTCCTCTTATCTGCCGAATACCCTAAACTCTAAACCCTCAACTTAAACCCTAAACCCTAAACCCAAACCCTCAACACTAAACCCTAGGCCCTAAACCCTAAACCCCCCCCCAAAATCCCCATGCCGAAACAATGCAACGAGGCGCAGGGAGGGAAGGGTCTCGATCGGCTGATGCGTGGGGCCGTCCTCACCTGGAGCCACGAGAAGCAGGAGGGGGTTTAGGGTCTTGGGGCGTTCGACCGTTTTGGAGTGTGAAGAAACCACAAGTTTACCGACGCTTTTCGAAAACAGCTGCTAGGACAGCTTTGCCGACTAAGTCTCGATCGTCTGGTCGCCAGCATGCACTTGCTTTCGCATCATCTTGATGACAGTTTGGATAGGTACTAGGACTACTACCCTTGCAGACTGATGCCACCTAGGGTTAACCAAAGCTCAAGTGGAAGGTGAATGTGACTTCGAAATAAGGGTCAGCGCGCATGGAGTGTATGCAGAGGTTAGGAAACTAAGTGCTGTGCCCTTGGCAACCGATAACGCTGTGAGCAAAACTACGTCGTGATGCGTCGCTTTATTACCCGTTCTTCTGCAGTAAACCTGGGGAAAACAAAGTTCATGACTATTGTTTGTCTGCCCGTTCGAGCTGTTCTTATCAACATTGATGCTCTTAGGCAATATTTCGGCATTAAACAGACTCTTTCCTGCACCAAAGCACCAAGAAATATGCAACCGACAACATGTTCGCCCTTTTTTCGATAAGCAAAGCCCGCTGTAAGCCAAGTTTCCAGGGCCGGGGCCCGTTCAAGGCCACTGCAACCAAGCGCTCTTCGGAAAACACTGTTTGGTGTCCAAGAATGCAGTCCAGCACCCAAGACCCCTTCAACTTGCCTGCAACACTTACAGACGACTTCGGAGCTTTGCGAAAGGCTTCAGGGGAACTACTGGGCTCAGGCTTGAAGCCCCGAAATCCTACGTAGCGGCGCAGGGTCGGGCAGGGGTTGGGTGTTGCAGGATTTCTGGGAGTGTAGGGCTTAAGGAGTCGAACGGTCAGGGCCGACGTGAAGCTGTCCATCTCTAAACCACAGCCCCTCAACCCTAAACTTAACCCTGAACCCCAAACCCTAAACCCCGCCTACAGCAATGGAGTCGTGAGTGGTCACGAAGATCGTGCCAGCTTGGGACAGGGCCGCAATACCTCGTCACAGTTCGTCATATGGGGGTTTACGAAAATAGGGGTACCCTTTTTGGGGCTTTCTATAATAAGCCTTGGATTACAGAATTGGGGGGGGGGGGCATATTAGGGGTACCCCTATGTGGGGGAAAACCCATATGCGTGTGTCCTGACATCAGCTCCATTGTGTTGACCATGGATGGAAATATACCCAAAAACATGGACGTTCAAGCCACGCCACAAACAGTAGCAGAAGCTGCCAAATACTCTTAGTTCTTAGTGTACGCTGTATGGCAGGCATACAGCCAGGGTTATGAAACGCACCACGCCATCGCCCTGAATTGCTCAGGCAGCCACGAAAGCTTACTGCAGGATTGAGGGTGTCGTGTTTCAAGGTCTGCAGGCAACACGGATATGGATTCCTTCGCCAATCAGTTGCCGAGGTGCGGATGGCGGAACGCATGTAGTCCGTGAAGATGGTGAAGGTGGCGCAGTAAGGGATGATGCCTGTGGGCTTTCGGCACTAGTCTTTGGGGGCTGCTAGACTTTAGAGATTGTCAGCCCTCATATCCTATAGGGTGGTCGGCAAGGAGGAGGTCTTTGCTCAAGACAATCCATCAGTCAAGGACTCCAGATTAAGGACTCAACGAACTCGAACATGCCTAGGACCTCCGTTCAGGGCTCAGGTTTTGGGTTCAGAACTGGTGCTTGCGCACGGAAAATCCGTAGATGGATAGGTACGAAGCCAAACCAGCCTTATCGGCAGAAACGAGGCATCACAAAACTTTTAACCTTCAAGCCCAATAGAATTCCCAGAAGCGTTCCCAAATCCTCTAAGCCCGGATGAACTCTCCAACCGGAAGCCCGCTGAGCCTTCTCAACCCGACAGGGCCGAAAAAAGCTCTGCAACTTCGAAACTCGCATGTTTTTGGCATTTGGTGGCCCTTGGTCTCATGAATCACTGTACGGCTGTAAGGAGAACATGGGCTATCACAGCACAGGTCCTGCGGCAACCGCGCATCAAGCAACCCCCCTTTCAGAATCCCAAGACGTCGGTTAATATAGGGGCCTGAATAATTAGAATAGGGTTTCGGGGGATTATAAAAGGACCATAAGGGAATACTCTTAGCAAGTATTCCGACCACTAACAATAGTTCAATTGCAAAGGATGCTCTCAGTAATGATTCCGACCCCAATTATTAGGCATCCGTCGCCTGTCTTGTCCAGAGACAGGGCGTTGCAAACAGCACCCATGCCGAACTCTCGAATGCCAAAGCGGAAGTTCCTTCAGGGTTTAGGGTTTAGGGTGTAGGGCTTAGGGGTTAGGGAGTAAACAGACTCCCTGGCAAAAGGCTTAAGAAGCTTCACGCTGTTCACTGCGTTTTCTGGGTTTAAGCCCCTTGCGGGTGGGCTCAGCCGAACCCAAAGGACTCTGAAGGACTGGTGCCAAATCTCCATCAGCAGGCTGAAAGTGTCTTTCGAGGCTCCGTATACTTGCCTCAAGGCATAAATAAGCCCTAAACCCTAAACCCTAAACCCTAAACCCTCAACCCTAAACTCTAGACCCTATACTTTTTATACGTTTCCAGGAAGTAAGGACGTTTGAGTTCAAGACTGCGGTGCCAGGGGTTGAAGAAACGTGCAACCCTGACAGTCGAGTTAATGCAATATAGGGGCTTTAATAATTGGAATAGGGTTTTGAGAGGGTTACTATAAGATACTTATATAGGGGCCATAAGGGGATACTAGTAGAACTTATTCCGACCCCTACATTAGGGCCACGTGAACTCTTTTGCTCGGGCTGTGCGGTGCGCGGGGTTTTTCGGCTGTCGTTCCGGTCTTGCTGAGTTGTTGCCTTTCGGCTTGCGAGGTTCGGATTTCGGATTTTTTTTACTTTTGCCCTTGTTCACCCATCCCTACCCGTCCCTCACCCCCCCTTCCCTCACCCCCCTTCCCTACACTCTACTTCGCCCATGAACAAGTTCCGGTCTAGGTTAAGACTCCAAACTCTAAGCCACAGCATCCCGGCTAAAGTAGGCACCCAACAACACTCCTGAAGCTCGAAACCACAAGTCTTCACACTCCCGGGCCTCTCGGAGTAGCTGTCTTTCAGGAAGTCGCCGGTGCACTTCCTCAGAAGCTGCTTGGGGCTCGATGTAAAGCTTGTGTTCAAAGTTGAGGTGTGGCATTTGAGGCTTCGGGAGGTTAGACTTGGGTTAAGGGTTAAGGGTTAACGGTTAAGGGTTATGGGTTAAGGGTCAAGGGTTAAGGGTACCGTGTATCGAGTATCGAAGTCCCACCTCTGACGACCTGGATGATCCGAGATTCTAATGCCATGCTTCCGAACCTAAGACCGGAACCCTTGACTTTCCTGTAGCCACTTTGTCCCTAAATCACGGTGCCCTGTTGGGTAAAGAGCGGCCTTAGAATAAGGGCCCCCCGAATTGGGGACCATATTCTTCGAGAAGTGACCACCTGAACCCTGCTAAGCCCATGCCGGGCATCATCAGGGTCATATTCGAAGGCGCCAGGTCGGCGGAGCCGCCCATGAACTCTGGCAGCACTGGAGCGATGGCGTTGAGGCAGTCCTGGAGAGGAGGGTTCAGGGTTTAGGGTTTAAGGTCTAGGGGGATTCGGCGGATTCGGGTGTCTGAAGGCTTGGGAAAATTCACTGCAAAGTTTAGATGGACGTCGATTTCGATTTTTCAGGTCAGAGGGCCTGGAGAAGAATGATGCCGCTGGTCGAAGGTATGTTTGTACCGATGAAAGCAACGCATACAACGGTTGGTTGGGCACTGTAAGCTGCGACATTTGGCTGGTTCCTGATCTGAGTAAATCAGTGTCCCCGATAAGAGGCCGGGCTCCCGAATTTGTGACAGTTCCCACATGCCTGCTCATCCCGAACTCTCCGCAAGCCTGTCAATGACCCTTGGGACCCTTTTTTGCGCAGTCGTGATTTGTTTCTGCATTTCTTCTCGGACGTCGTGCCCCTCCACCACCCGCCCCTGCCACCGGCACGCAAGTGGCGTTGTACCCCCACAGACCAGCCACTTGGCCCGAGATCCGAACATCTTCACTTTGACAGGTAAGCATATGGATGGTACACAAGGGAAACAAAGAAGGGAACTGTACGGGGCACAGCATGCACCTCCGGTGGTGCTTTTTTGGGAGTGTAGGGCCAGTGTAGGGTGAACAAGGACTTTGGTTGTGAAGCCCACTTTTTGTTTTTCAGGACTCCACCCTGAAAAAGCTGGAGGCTTTCTTCTTAAGATCTTGGAGGATGCAGACGCGACAGCTCGGAACCTCGAAACCCCCAAATCCTGGAACAACCCTCAACCCTTAAACTAACCCTAACTAACCCTAATAACCCTGGTCCTGAGAGTGCAAGCGGGTCGCCTCACGGGTTTCGGGAATGGCTGCTGCGTCGAGGCTTTGGAGCAAATCTTAGAAACCTTCAAGGGGTTTAGGGTTTAGGGTTTTGACTCCTGATCCTCAGCTGTCAGGTCAATGAAGCTCACAATTCAACCCTAAACCCGAAACTCTAAACCCTAAACCCTTTGCACTAATTGTTTTGCAGAAACAAGCAGAGGCAAAGACATCCAATCCCGCCAGACACAACCGAGAATAGAGGTCCTGGGGCACCGATTTCCCAACAATCGAAGTTGAGAGTTCACCGATTTACCCTCCTCTTCTGCATTGAGACTAGAACTTAAAGTTGACCTGATGAAGTCCTAAACCCTTTAAAGGATCGAATAGCACTCGTAGGGACGACATTCAAAAGGATAATGGGGCCTTCTGAAAGCGCTGCGGCGTTGCCTCTGCGCAGTCTGAGGATTAAACTGAACAAGGCTTGCACTTCTAGACAAAAACCGGAACTCGAACCAGGCTTTTTAAAAGGGCCTGGGATTGAGGGCTTCTAAACGAATGCCGGCCTTGCCCGCATCCTCCTCGGTCAGCTTGGGGAGGCACTCGTCCCAGTTGTCCGGAAGCTTCCTCTTCAGCACCTTGTAAGAATGCCGGTTGAAAGGTTCAGGCTGCATTCTAGATCTAAAAGTGAAAGAGCGTGGGATGCATTGGTATTTTTCCTGGCTGCCAGGGTTCATGGCTTCTGGTGTCAGGGCTGATTGAATGAGTTGTCACCCGCTGGCCGCAAGTATGGACGATGGATCCTCCGAAAGTTCTTCCGGCAAATAAGGTGTGCTAGAGGGCGATGGCCAAATTGTCAACGCTGAGCATTCAAAGGTGGACGGCTTAACTCCGAGAGAACTACGGCGTTTGACCGGGGCGCTGCTCGCTCAAACTGCGCAGCAAGCTCAGGCTCCTTCTCCTGTGCTCCAGGGTCAGTTCAACTACAGTTTCGGAGTTTTGGGCTCAGGGCTCGGGGGTTTGAGACGGTGGATGAGAGCGTTGCTTGAAAAGGATACAAGTAGTGGTGCTCTTGCTTAGGTGCGCAGAGGCAGCTGTGTTGTGGCATTTGCGAGGTGATCTGAAAAGCCCTGAGACGTTGGCAGGATTGAGCTAATGCTCCTATGATGTTCATACGATAGCCTCGGGGCTGCGAGCTTTACAAAAACCATGCAACCTGAAGAAACCCAATCGTCGCAATGTGCTTGTGTTTTCTGAGGCAAGGTCCTTGTAGGCTGCGAAGAGCTTGTCCCACTCTGCCTGCCTTGGGCACCGAGATAGGCTTGCAAGATCTGATGTCGAACGATGCGGCTTCAAGTTCTATCGAAAATTCAATTTCGAGGGGCTCCAGGTCATGAGGGCTTGGATTTTGTGCGGCGTGATGCTGCATTGTGCCTGAAACCCAAGCTTCTCAATCGTGAACTCTAGGCTTCAAGCCTTCAAGCTACACTAGGTGCATGGAAGGTTGAACATGGTAGCTCCAATCGGGCCGTTGGTCGAAAATGTAGATTGTTCAAGGTCGTTTTCTCTTTTCAGCGGCTTGAAAGAACACTTGTCTGGGCTACACGTGGCAGATCATCGTTTCAGACCACGGAGCAGAGTTTGTAGGAACTCGCGTGGGTTTGCATGTGGAATGACACCTGAAACGCCCAACATCCTTGTGATCGTGTAGGTAATTACTAGTGTTTCGGGAATCAACAAACACTATATAAACACCATAATTCTGCCTTGGCTAGCTTTACAAGACTTGCATACTTTGGTAAGCCCTGGATGGACCTGTCCCAAAATGGCTAGGATGCTCTAAAGCGAGCTTAGAGCCCCCTTAACGACACATCCACGGTGCTTCTCGGCGCCGGCGTCGGCCTGCTTCTTGAACGCAGCGTAGACGTGCTCCGGCACCTGCGGCTTAGAGGGCAGCGGTGGGGAGGTCTAGGCCCCTGAAGCTGCCCCATCCGAACGTCCTGCACGAACCACAGGAGCTCAACTTGGTCTTAAGGGTCCCTGCACAAAAACGAACGGAAACAGAAAAGCTAGGCGCACAAGGCAATTCTAGTATTTCTCTCCAGGACTGATTTCCATCAAACTTGAGACCAAAGGAGGGTTTGCAGGGCTCAGCACTTTAGGTTCGCAGTGTTGAGGATCGCGCACATGCGGGTTTAAGGTCTCGGGATGCCGGGTTCCTACAGCTTCGGCTGCAGCACAAAGGAGCCTACCGAGAACGCTTCTCGGTTTGCAGAGGGATACTCAAGATGCCCAAGCAGCTTGTGCCTGGGAATCTACGAGAATGCGAAAAGAATTTTAGCGCGGACGCATATGTCTTAAACAGCCAAAGTATGCCAGAGCCCAGACCCAAAACCTGCCACCACCCGAACCCAACCACAAGCGGGCTGATGACCCCTTCACAGGTCCCAATTTGCATGCTACACAGGCGTTTATACGGTAAGACCTCCATTTTCCCCTTAAGCCCTAGATTTTTGAACCGGCCTCGAACTCACCGTAGCTCCATCCCAGCTGCCTGGAGCCGAAGGGAATGCAGCAAACACATGTCCTTAAGCCTTAAGCACCGAGCAAGATGGCCAAAACGCTACCCTTCCCACTGCCGATGTGTAAAGAACAAAAAGATGTCTTCACGAATCTCTAAACTCTAAATACATGGATGGCCATGGACGGACTGATTTTAAGGTTTGTGGCTGCATAGCTGGCCTAGCCGTGAAGTCTATCAAAAAAAAAGCCGACAAGCCGAGAAGTCATCAGGCGATACTTTATCCAGAACATACGACGCCAGCAGCCAACAACGCCCACAGAGCCAAGGACGCGAGAGACAAAAACAAACCTCAAGCCAAGAAACCAACCAAGAAGCTACAATGCCAGGAAACCCAGGAAGGCGAGAACGACACCCGATCTACCTCACCTACCCTATGTGGGAGCCATGGCCTTTAGGTGGGCACTCCAGGGATACTCGGCGGGACTCTCTGCGGGCTTTTCTGTGGGGCTTGGGGAATCCAGGGATACTCGGCGGGCTTCTCTGGGGTGGGCACTCCAGGATACTCGGCAGGACTCTCTGTAGGCTTCCCTCTGGTGTAAGGATACTCGGCGGGACTCTCTGCGGGCTTCTCTGCGGGCTTCTCTGCCAGGTCCAGGAGACCTGGCGGGACGCCGGGCGAGGAGGTGAGGAGGCCAGGAGAATGGTTGACTTAAAACCTACCATACCCTCACAACCCCACACTGAGAGTGGAGAAAAACAAAACCAAACAATGAGATTCAACTCCCAAATCTTGTGAATACATGTCAGTACGAACGCCCGTCATGCGCCTCACAGCCGTCGCCCGCAAGTTCAACAGGAGCCATAGCTGTAGTCAAACAAGGATGTGTGGGCAAGGTTGCCACCGTGGAGCTGAAGGCATCTCAACAACAGTTCTTCGTTCCTCCAACACTAAATCCCCCCTTCATAGTATTCTCGGTGGTGTTGAAACGGACATTCGCACCGTGGGCGCATGAGTTCAGAGCAGGCTGGCGCTTTTGTTGGGATGCCACAGGCTGGGCCAGGGCAGAAACTTTTGCAGCCTTAGGGATGGGGCAGCCCAAGATCCCCCAAAACCCTGAGTCTTCGCCCTTCTTATCAATGAGCACCCCCCCCCCCCCCCCCCCCGGAGTGTGCACGGAGGTTCACGGGGCCAGGGAAGTGATCGAAGTACTGGGGTGGACGGCTTGCTGCCGGGCGGCTTGCGTGTGGCCTCGGCCTCGTCTGCTCCAAGCGGGGCTCCGTGGGCGTCGTGGCTGTCAGCCTGGGCTTTTTTGGGGGCTTTGGTTCCAGGTTGGGTTCCCCTAAACCCTAAACCTTGACCACTAACCCCTCACCCCTGAATCCCAAACCCTTGGATCCAAGGTTGGACCCAGACGCAGCTTGAAGGTTCTTCCACATGGGCAGGCTATTAATCTTCAGGGAGCCTGTATGTCTTTTTCTGGGATCTTGCACGGGGCTTTAACGAGGGACACCACCCGTTTGGGCCTCCAAGGCCCCAAGGCCCAACCCCAAAACGCCGGCTCTGCGTTCCCAAACTCCTGAAGGCCCAAGCCAGGCCTTGTTGGGAGAGCCGAACCCGATGGTAGTCTTCACCTGCATCGTGGAGAGGCCTAGGGTTCAGGTCCGAAGGCCTTTGCTTCATTTTGGAGCCAAACCCGCAAAGCCTGACATTTCAGCGTACTGGGATGTAAGAGATTCCACCCTCCGCTGGCCTTGATGAGGGTAGGCTTGTCCTCAGTGCTTCAGCTACGCCGGGCACTAAGGTCGGAATCGATCAGAGGATGAGAGCGCCCTGGTTTGAGTAGATTTTTCATCGGGGCTCGACGTGAATCTGGTTGAGCTCTACCAGCCATGATGCGCAAGTGAAGATCATGGTGTAGGAATGGGACTACATATAAGCCCCCCCCATGATGAACGTTGACACATCGTGCGTGAAAAACGTTTAACACCAAGGACGCACAAAGTTCTGAAGAACCAGAGCCGAACAAAAACAATCTAAGCTGAATCGCAAAGCCAAGCCTAAGGCACGATAAAACAAAAAAATGGAGAGAGTATGGACTATCGCGGAGTTAGCTGCCTTGACGACACCTGTGAGAACTCGCTCTCTCTCTCTCTCTCTCTCCACACGCTAGGCCCCCCAGAGGGGAGCCGCCCCGAAGGGCGCGAGAGTCCCATGTCTGTCGTTTGTTGCTTCGCCCGCGGTTTCTCTCTCTGTCTCTCTCTCTTCTCTGTCTTTCTTTGGGGCATGGAGGGGGTCCTCCGCGCTGCAAGCGCGCCCCAGTCTCGCAACTCTTTCTCTCTCTCTCTCTCTCTCTCTCGCTCTCTCTCTGTGTTGTATCATTTGTGTATATATATATATACACATGATGATTTTTAAATATATACACACATATGAATACACACACATATATCTATCTATATATATATATACATATATTTGTACACACTTGTGTATATTATACCAGTGACAATCTATATCTAGTATAATCTTTATTATACGTATAAATATGTTTCTAATTGTCTATTGTTCCATCTTCGCGGTAGCTGAGCTGCCGTGCAAGCCTTGGCCTCGGCGATGGCCTTGCGGATGGCTCCGACGTCCTCGCACCCCAAATTGGCTCTCCAAACTAGGGTTTAGGGTTTGGGGTTTGGGGTTTAGGGTTTAGGGTTTAGGGTTTAGGGTTTAGGGTTTAGGGTTTACGGTTTGGGGTTTAAGGCTTGGGGTTTGGGGTTTAGGGTTGAGGGCTTGGGATTTGGGGTTTAGGGTTTAGGGCTTGGGGTTTGGGGTTTAGGGCGTGGGGTTTAGGGTAAGAGGGTCCCGGCAGTCCCTGAACTTATAACCCAAAGAAGGGGCCCTCATGTGGAAAACTGCCCAAATGTTCTAAGGCCCTTGAAGCTACCCTTCGAAGTTTTGCTCTGAGATATCTGTCTGGGGTCTAGCATCATTTTGCCGGGTTCAGGTTGTTGAACGTTTAGGATTCAGGGCTTTTAGGGCGTGCGACTGGTTAGAATAGAAGCCCAGGAGAGTTTCAATTCTTGCCTTGTGTGCGCAAAGAGTTCCGGGGCTGCTTTCAGGGTGTCGGACTTGAACAGACACGCAAGTTCAGGTTCATTGGTTGATAACCACAATGAACGACTTCTGTCTAAGAGCCAGCCACTTCGCCACGGTGGGAGTGCTGCTTCGCTCTTGTTGAACTGAGCTCGATACAGCAGAGCACTTCCAAAGGTGGAGTAAGGGCCCATCGGCCTAGTCTATCCGAAGCCACCAAGACATTTGGGAGTTTACGAAACCCCAAAATAGACCCCCAAATAGTCCTTTTAATAAGGACCCGAAGAAGGTACCCTTATGGTCGGAAACACCCATTTCCTAACGGCCCTATAAAGCCTCCTGAGCCGACTCCCGTAAACCCGTTGAAGCCCAAGATTGCTGGCAGATGTGCCCTCCTGGTCACCATCACCCACCGTGATGACTTGCCAGCCGTACGCCTGGCCAAGCCTAGTCCTAGGTGTTAGGTTTGCGAGTTGTGACGCCGGCTTTAGCTCTGAGGGCGCTGTATTAAAATTCCGGGCAGCAGCTGTGGCAAGCCCTGTCTCAACAGGCATGCCCCAAACACACCTTCAAGAGTCAAGAGAGTGAAAAGTCCTCTCATGCGTAGCCGGGAGAATCGAGAAGAGCTCCAGTTTTGGGATCCAAGAAGCGCAACTCTGCGACAGTCGCAAAAACCCTGTCACCAAAGCATAAGTCAGATGCATCCAAGTCCATCATCCTGAGGACAAAAAATCGAAGCCCTTCTTTTGTTTAGCCCGCGCCTCGAATCGCTTGCCAACATCCTGCAACTAAGGAAGAGCTGGGATGAGTCGGGTTGGATAGTGGTGTTTGGGGTAGTTACTTCTTCCTTCAACTCTCACACTGAGCACACAAAGGCAGCCAGACATCTTCTCACATGTCGCTCTCTGTGGCATAACTCCGTGTTGGCTCGAATTTGGACATGCTTTTTGACTCCTGCCATTGATCCCGGCTGGTGCTGCAAGGAGGCGTGCCACCTCGTGCTTAAGTTGAAAGCGACAGCCAAGACCAACCTGTCTACGCCCCCTCAACATTGAAACCCCTTGGCAGCCATCCTCGGTGAAGGAGAGGTCGGTATGGCCATCAATGGTAATGCCGTTGTCATCCTGACACTTTTCCAGCAGCTGAAGCAAACCGAACCTAGCTGGAGATCCGAAGTCCTACGCGCTTTACGTTGCATAGCTGGGCGGTAGGTTAGAATTCTTCATCTTATGAGGGCCTCCGTGCCAGGTGATTGTTGAAGAGATGCATAATGAGGTATCGCAATCCAGGAACTAAGCAGAAACTAAGTACACTCGAAACATCCAAGCTGATTCTAACGACATGCCACTTGCTGTCCGGCCATACACAACCTGCCGTGACCTCCCCCAGGCTTGCCCAGTTTAAGAACAGGAATGAACGCCCCTTTACAAAGCGAAGGAAGATCTACAAGCGCTGACAAGCACAGCTCAAGACCTCGAAGCGAAGTGGGAAAGCACCATGTTTTTTAAATCATATACTTGACATTGGTTTAAAACATTTCCAACAGGAATACTGAATGATCTTCATAATACTTGTACAGCAGTAGAATACAGTATCCTGCAGACCGCACCCTGCACACCAAGGGGCGTAGAAGGCGATGAGCTTTCCCAAGCCGAGGTGGCCGGCATAAGCGCAGGCTTCATGGGAGATGCCCTCCTGAAGAGCAAAGGGCATCGGAACTAGGGGCTTAGGGAATTTAGGGTTTAAGGAAGTTAGGGTTTAGAGAATTTAGGGTATAGGGAATTCAGGGTTTAGGGAATTTAGGCGGAGTTTAGGTTTAAGGAGTTTAGGATGCCAGTTGGTCCTTCAATGCCAGCAGGGGTAACTGGGGGCAGCCCTGCAACGATCAATCCCGAACTCGATGACGACCTTCGAGGTCACCTTGCAGCCCGCAAAGAGCCCTGAAAAAACACAATCCCATCTTCTCACAACCTCAAAATCAAAACTCCGACTCTGCACCCTTCCTCCCCCCAAAAAAAACCAATCTCCAGCACTCCTGCATGCATCCGTCGCCCGCAATGGTGTATGTGTAATGGTCAATGAGAGTGAAGTCCGGCCTCGGATTCTTGTGCTTGGGGGAGCCTGTAGAATCGCGAGCCCACAAAGCCCAAATCTGCGAGGTCAAGCTCTTACTGCTCTCCTACCCTTAACTTATGAGCCTTTCGCCTCGGCGCCTCATGGCTCCCTGCCTCTTGCGTCCGCTGACACTATTCTGGGGGAACGTACCCCAAAACAGACACACACACACACACACACACACACTCCATGGGGATTTGGGCAGTCGTTTTAGCAAGACCTGTTGGGGGCGCTTATGGCTCTCGCGATCGAAGAGCTTGTTGTACGCCGCCGCCATGTGCGCCTCTGCAGCTGCCAAGCCGACTGCATTGGAGATGCCCATACCTCGTCACACCGCCAGGCACCAGGCCGTAAATGGAGAGGGTTTGATCTCAAGAGCCTTTGTACCTAAAAAGGCGCGGCTCTCAACTCGGGGAGCCGGGTTCAACCGGGCATTGGCATCTTTTTTCAGGCGAACTCTCTTCAACTTGCAGAGTGCCGAAATCACGCCGAGGCTCCAAGTGGGCCAGTCGTGACCTCAATACCATCGGTCTCCTGAGTCAAACCCGGAAGTGCTGTCATCTGTGATCCCCTCTCCGACTCTACGGTGTCCTTGCTGGGCTTCCTAAGATTTACCCCTAAACGCTTGAAAGGATGCCACTCAACTTACGCTCAGATCTGACCCACGGACCGCAATAAACTGCTCAAGCAACATCAAAGCTCCAGCGCCCCTCCTTTTAAGCCCTTAACCCCTAGTTTTCTTTGACAAGCTCGCACTTTCATACTGCAATGGTGAAACTCAAAGCATCCAAACCATCCCCAAACCCCGAAAGCCCAAACAACCCCACACCACAAGCCCGCAAAACATCCTAAGCCCTGCAGTAGCGGGGGCCCTGCCTCCCTACCCCGTACCCCCTACCTTCCTCGCCCTTACGTTCCCCGCTGGTTTCCCACCACCCCCTACCCTCCTTGCATGTTGAAGTAGATTCCCCTGCGCCCTTCCCCCTGCCCCCCCCCCCCCCCCCCCCCCCCCCCCCCCCCCACCACCTTGTAGAATTTGATTTGCAGAAGTATGTATGTACACTATATAGTGAGTACAAAAGTGGGGGAGCGATTTCGCAGGCAGAAGGCAGAAGTGCTTCGGTCTTAAATGAGGGTCTTTAACACTGGGTGGCTAGAGCTTAGGCCGACATTCAGAGAGAATTTTGTGATTCCTTTTTATGGTTGGGAAATTTGTAGCTGCCCGTGGTTGTATGACACAGCTGCCCACAAAATGATCTGCAGTGCTCTGACGCACTTTTGTTTGATGTGCAAGACCTATAGCGGCTCAGAAGGTCAGACAGCGTTGCAGCCTCAACATCTTGTCTGCATGGCACGTGGTCCCGTCGTCCGACCAGAAGTGTAGGAGTGTGGGCGGCCAGCCGGGGCCTTCGAAAATCAACACGCCGTACGTGGATCTCAGGCGTGGACAGACAGCCGGGGGTTTCGAACATGAAGGCCCGGGCGGCCCGGCACGCGGATCTCAGGTGTCTGCGCGTGAGTCGTGCGCGCGTGCGTCGAGATTCTTGTGAAGCACGTGACTTCGGGGATCTGCTCAAAAGCACATCCTTAAATGAGGCCGGATATGCACTTCACCTTCAGCGTGGGCGAGGACTTGCTACAGTGATAACTGCGACGTGCGTGACATTGGGATTCGCCCCAATCGCAGCCGATGCGACTTCACGCCTTCCAGCGGGACATGGGGTGATAAATGCACCCCTAGAAGAGAGTTGACGGCTAAGGATGCAGGGGACAAAGCTCCTTCCTGTGGTCAAGTGGGCCCACGCAGCCACGAGTCCGTGGCATTCTGGCGCTAGATCCGCTAGATGCAGTAGGACAGCACACAGCAGCTTCCCGGAGTTGCAACAGAACGGCAAAGTCCGCAAGGCTCGACGCATGTCTGTTGAACGTGCGAGACATGGAGACTCATGAGACGACTCATGTACAGCAAACCGAAATTGTCCCTTTTGCATTGCATACGCACATAAGTATTTAAATCCTTTTAGCATGCACGCATACAAGCACAGGATTATACAGGTAACAAGTATACAAAATCATATAAACAAAGCCCAGGTGCGAAGTTCTCCGGGTGGCCAGGGGTCTTGGAGCCCCACTGCCTGGTTTTTTTTAAGAGGCTTCAGGAGCTCAGAGGTGCACATGGACTCCGAAACCTCGAGGTTTGATGGTCTCTGAAGTGCCAGCCTCCTTCATTTTATACAATCGCTATCTCCGAAGTCCGATAAGCCACTGGCCAGCACCCAAAGCTCCGAAGACCCTTGCTGGCTAATGCCCCCACCTGAACTGCTTCAAGTCATCCATGGCGACGCTGTCGTATCCGGCAAGATGAAGCAGGGAGTACCTGAGCCATTAACCTTGAAGCCCACTCAGTTGAGGCCTTGAGGGTTTCAGCACACACAAGTATTCGGCTTATGTCCCTAGGGCCCTTGGACTTAGGTCCTCGGTCTTGGGAGTTTCGAATTTGGGTTCAAGGCCAGACTCAAGGGCTTTGGAAATCGGCATGTACCACGGTGTTTTGCCCGAGCAACTCCGTGCGGATCTTGTGGAGAACATGTTTTGACCCCACCCTGCGCAAAAAAAAGCGTCCTTGTTCCCAGATCTCTTTCTTGCTCCCTTGCAGTTCTTGTGGATTGCGAACGGTACGAGCCGAACCCTAACCCTAAACCCTGAACCCTCTGTTTAATCATTTGCGGTCTCGAGGCTGCAGCATGCAGCCATGGCCCGAGGAGAGCACGAAGCGGTCACGGTTGCACCAGCTTGGGTCCTGTTCACATGCTTTGGGGTCTCTAGGGTTGAGGGTTTGGGGTTCAGGTTTGTGGTTGAAAGGCAGCTTCACGGTTTTCCGATCCTGGCCCCAAACATCACTCGAATTCATGTTGACAACCCCGGCCCCACTGCCTTCGTCCACAATGACCCATCCCCTTAACGCCCGACTCGAAATGCCAAATGGTCCCTACCCCGACCCTAGAGAACTCTACGTCCCTCCTTTGGGTTGTAGGCCATTTCCTCTGCGAAGAGGAGGTAGCCTTGGCTTTACGTGTTCACTTAGGGCTTAGGGTTTAGGCTTCAGGGTTCAGTCAGAGCTTCGTGAGGTGGCTGTTCAATGGAAGTTCGAAAGCTAAGAGAAACCTTTGAAGAGTAGGAGATTGGGATTGGGTTGGTGTGAGATTGCAGCACTTCATCACGAGCATCCTTAACGCCACTCTCCCCATCAACCCACCTGCAGACGAACACCCTGGGAGTTTACCACTCTTCCGTCTGCTGCGGCAGCGGTCGAGTTAGAGATTGCGAGGCACGAATGCCACTACAAAGCCGCTCAGCCGAAAAAGCTGCAGCTTCGATACCTTGCCCCCATGGCCCTCAACCCAGCATCCCGAAGCCTCCTACTTATACCCAGCTTCAGCCTGTAAACCCCAAATATCCGCAAGCCCTTAGCCTTAGCCCCCGACCACCTGAAAAACACACTCCACCCACTCTCCCCAATCAATGATGTCCACGTTGCCGATCGGCGCCTGACCCATAGGCGCGCCTGGGTGACCAGAGTTGGCCTGGCGGCTTCGATGGGCTTTGCGTAAGCTTCGGGCTTTCAGGGCTTGACACATGTAAGCGTTTTAGGGTTTAGGGTTTTAGGGTTTAGGGTTTCATTCTATTGGTCCACCTGTTCTTCGACCGTGGCTGTTTGGTTGGACATGGCCTCTGAGACACAGAGCTCGTGCATGGCATTACTTGGAGATGTGCTGGCATCTCTTGGCTGGGCACAATAACCTCGCCAAAGCCCTGTTCTCCTTGTTTAAGGCCCCTTCCCTATAATCTTCGTTTATTTTTTCAGGGGCTTCGAGGACTTCGGAGATGCGCAGGTCAGTGCAGCTGCCTTGTTCACGGCATCCACTGCCAGGAAGCGGATGGAGTTGATGCAGTCGGTCTCCACCTGGTATACGTTCTATAAACTCTTCTGGAAGGGGAGTCTCTGCTTTAAGAAAGGGTCAAACGACAACTTCCTAAAGCCTCCGAGCAATGTGGAGGGAAGCCCCTAAACCTCCCGAACTTGGGATTTGGCCTTTGAGTTTGAAGGTTAATCATCCAGGCTGAAGCTCCAAGCTAGAGTATACAGCGGCCATCACGAGGTGGAAAATATATTTTGAGCACGACACTATCGACACCAACCACCCGGTTCAGGGTTTAGGGTTTAGGGTCTGCGGCAAAGTACGTGGCCTGTTCTATTGTGATGCCAAGGTTCTGCTTTGGTTCATGGTCCTGAGCTTTCTTCCTTTTCGAAGAGCACTTTTAAGCAAATCAGGGCCTGTGTTATAATCGCAGTGTGTGGAGGCAGCCAGAGGGGCGCCGTGGTTTGCCCGTCTCCCACACGCAACCATGGGTTTGGATGAGGCTGGGATGAGCTGTACGAAATTACATGTTGTGTTCTTTTCAGTGAGTAGGTGGTTTGCTTCTATCAACGCTGGCAAGTGCGTTTGAACCCCAACGTGCCCGACTATCTTTACAAAAGCAAGTGCTCTCAGTCCAGATCACAACTTCTCAGCTTTTCTTCCTGCTCTTCTCTGCCGGTTCGGCAATCCTTTTCCGGTTGTTTATCGGCCGTTTCTGGTGTCTTTGGCAGTTCGTAACATTCCCGGGATGCCTATCAGGCTTCGTAGTTCTCCGATCTGAAAGGCATTGGAAAAGATCCGTTTCGTGGTCGCTTGTTCATGTCCTGGCATCATGCGAATACACTTCGCGGCCGAATGTCAATCCTGGCGTTGACGTGCAGCTGTTTCATCCAGGGGCAGGTGTGGTTAGCTTCCAAGCGAGCTCACAGGCAAGCTCAAGCGGGCTGACATAGTTGACGTCCATTTCTAGGTAGTGGACCCACAAGTCAGGGAGCTTCGGATTGTCCGTGAGGCACCCTGCGTGAGCCCTAATTCTAAACCTAAGCTCGCCTGCAATTGCAAACCTCACCACCGCATCAAACGCTACCCTTGACTAATCGATGGTTGGAAGATGCCCCAAACACTCAGTCGCAACAGTGAGCTTCCCACAACACACGGCTTCTTTGGACTGGAGGTTTAGCAGCTTTAGCCCCATCGTGAATGCTAGATTGTATCCATTGAAATGGTCTTGGGCCTTGGCCTAGCCTGCCCAACCCAACTATGCCTTGTAAACCGGATATGATGAACCTTGTGAAGCCGATCCTGCAAATTCTTTCAAGACTCCATCTAAAGCCCCCATCGGCCTCCGTGTCGGTGCTGACTGCTGCCAGCTTCACGGCCTTTCGCTGCCCCTGCAGAAAGGGCGCGGGCGGGGGGGGGGGAGGGGCTTTCGGGCGTTTGCTCTTTGGGGGAAGAAAACGGCAAGTCCAGTAGTGGAGTCAACTTGTGAAGGAGTTCAGGGTTCGTTTGGTGAAAGATTGAGGGATTGAAATTCTAGTTACGAAGGTCGCTGAAACTAACCGTGTGGAATCCAGATATTCAAGCCCACTTGCCGCAAAGTTGAACCTCGAACCATGCAAGTCGCCGGAGGCACACAATGTCACAATAGTCATCCACAATTCTGTACCCTGAAACATCCCCCTAAATCCTAAACCCCAGACCCTAAAATTGAACGCCCCAAGCCCCGATGTTTCGGGCCACAGATCGGCCTTTCCCTTGGCCGTCGCCCGTGCGGCGCAACCTGCTGCGAGCATCGCTGCACCTACGGTGGCGGCGCCCATGGAAGTCTGGGGCTGGGCGGCAGCTGCATGGCCGGCCGCGACACCTTCAGCACGACCATCCCTTAAGGGCTTAGGCCTTATAGGGGCCACAACTCCCAGAGCCATACCTCCCCCCCCCCGTCCTCCAGTAGTTTAAGCAGAAAGGAAACGCTCAAGGCCCTTGCGAGTGTTCTTTCATCGTGCGGGCTTTCAAGAAACATGGCCGCAAGAGCCCTAACAGCAGGGTGCCTGTGCACAGAAACATCGTGTTTCCCTGATCTGCTGAGTAGTGATGCCCAAGACTCGGGTATTCATGTATATGCTAGGATCGAGTCGATCTAGCTAAATCGTGCAGGTAGCATGCTTTGCCCACCTGGCTCCAGACGTGCTGCGCTTGGTGTGCTGGGGGGTGCCACCTGACAAGCGCCCGCGAAACTAGCGGGGTGTGGAATCTGGCGAGCAATAAGGAACTCTAGCAAGCCGAAACCTCCCGCGAAAAAAAATAAAGGGACGTCGATCCACAGACACCGGAGAAGACCCAGCCCTGTTGCAGCCATAGCTGCAGCAGGTTGCAGCTACAACCCCACTGAAGAATCAGTCTACCAAACCACGTGGAGACCCATGCAGAACCCCGTAGTTCAAGAAAATGGGCACTCTGAAACTCTAAGATCCAAGGTGCTGAAGCTCTTCATCGCAGCCCGGAATTCTGAGCCCCCCAAACCCAAGCTCCATCCAAAGTCCAACACTCGAGCTATTGCGAGGCACAAAGGTCAGCGCAGCCGCAGAGGCGGTAGCAGCAGCCGCCAGGGCCTTAGTAATGATCCTACCGTTATGCAAGAACATGTCTTAATTGTGCTGTTTCTTTTTGTTTTTGTTGTTGGGGGGGGGGGGGGGGTTCTTCAGCCAATAGAAAGGTTCAGGGTTGGCAAGAGTCAAAAACTCTTGGGGGCCACAGGCTCGACGGGAAGTGTATGTGGGCATTTGCATTCGAAGCCTTGGGGCTTCGGGGTCTCAGGGTTTGTGGGTTTTTGATGTTGTCATGATGGCTTGTTAGGCTTTCCAGGTTTTGGGGCTCTATATCTTGAAGACTCGGAAGGCTTCGGGCAGATGCCCCATGCTGCCGTGCTGATGTCCAGCACAGGTTCCTTCTCACTGCCAAGTATCATTGCAGACGCCGTGTGTCATAAACCTGCTCTCAAAACTATATGATCCCATGAGTGAGAGGCTGTGTTGCGCTGCCGAGTGGACGGCATGGCGAATCAGCTGAGTCACTAAGGCGAAAAAACTACGGAAGCCAAATGCTGGTTTGAGTCCAAGGTCCCACGGAAAGCGCATGGGTCTGTAGGGCTTGGGCGTCTCAAGGGCTAAGACGAGGTCCGATCACGGGAGCAGGATTGTTCTGTGTCAGCGGTTTGTCTGTAACAAGCTCTTGGGGACGCCCCAAACTCAAGACTCTGATTAGAAGCACTGAACACTTTGGGGCGGAAAACCCGCACCTCCAAAGCCCCGCCCTCTGAATGGTCGAGGGCTTGGGTGCCGAACGAAGCTTGCACAACCCCTCAGCCCCAAAACACCGAACCCTCCACGCCACCGCTTGAGTTTGGGCGCTTCAGATTCTTTGACGGCTCAGGTCTTCGGCTTTGGATGAAAAGATTAGGGACGTTAAGGTTTGCGCTGTAGGTGTTGCAGCTCATTGGCTGAGCCTGGTTGCACAAAATCCATGGTCAGATTAGGGTTTTGGGTTGAAGGTTTAGGGTTGGTTTGGCTTGTGCAGACTCGTGTAGACCTTTTCATTGCGCAGGCCTGCATTCAGCACTCGACGCGGGAAAAGTTGAAGAAGAAAACTGCCATGGAAGTCGGTGCATGCTGAAGTGCCTATTCCTTGAGACTGAATCTGACCCAACCCGTAAATAACTATTACGTCATTACGACCGAAGGCGCATTCAACAACAAGAATGGGCTGTCGAAGGTTGGGGCTGAGGATGCGGGTTGGGTCTGCAACTATAAATTGTAATCCAACAAATGGATCCTGATGAGTTCCAGAGTTTTCAAAGGTTGGCCTGGGCTTCATATCGGTGTTTACGAAAATAGGGGACCCCCCCCAAAATACTAGAATCCTGATTCTAGGAACGCCCAAAAAGGGTACCCCTGTTTTCGGAAACCCCTTGTGGAGGAAGACTCGCTGGACTCAAAACCCTTTTCAGTCTCTCGGTGTTCGTATGGGCTTTGCTTCAGCCTTCACCTTTCAAGAGCTGGATCGCGCAAGCCGCCTCGGCCCTGTCTCTACGATGCGGGATGCGGAGTTTTGGGGGGGGGGGGGGGGGGGGGGGGGGGCGCTTAGGCTTTGCGGAGTTCGGGATTGATTTTCACAGGGCCTGGGACCTTCAGGAGGTGCACGGCAGGGTGCTTGCTTTTTTTTGGCTTCTCTATTATATTTTTTCGGGGGGGGGGGGGGGGGGTTTGAGAACTTGGCGTTACAGCATCCGTTAACTCACCACAACAAGGCCAGACCGCTTTCACGAGCCCAGAATTCAGCATCCAGTCTGAGCGACTGAATGGACTGAAAGCATTAAAAGCTGCGGAGTCAAACTCGCTGATGGGAACTTGGGTTGTGCAGCTATGGTAATTGCGGTGTGGCGTTTACAGTCTTGCACTAAAGATGTGCCTGTCGATGCTGGCAGGGGGGTATGGACACAACGGGCAAGGTGTTGAGCGGCTCGGGATGCAACATGACAGGCTTGGGATGGGCTTCGCGAAAGGCAGCTTGCACACAATAAGGATGTTGAACTTGGGGAGTTTGGGCCATCATACAACTTGAATTTTAAAATGCCTTCACATGTCGTGCAGAAGCGAGTGTGGCTGACTTAGAGGCTCAGCAGAAATCATCGTGCGCCTCACTGGCGCAGGTGCGCAGCCTTCGCCAGAGACGAAGGCTTTAGGAGCAGCAGGGGGGTTGGCAGATATGAAGTGTGGCTCCGAAAGTCTACTTACAAGGCCGTAATGGCAGGAGCTGAAGGTTCAACTTGTTTTTTGGATGTTGTGGTCTTGGCTACGGGGCTCACTGTCCCCTTGTGTTCTTTGCAAGCAGGGACGCAGAGACCAAAACAACTCCGAAGCTACTGAAATCTACTGAATCCCGAATCTGGAATCCTGCCACGCAAAAACGGCAACCACAAGGGGCAGAGCCAGACATAACTAGATGCAGCTGTTGCCGAAGCACCTGCAGCGACAGCATCAACCTTGCCCGACACCAACACCTACGACCGACAACAACAGTAAATGATACCGCTTGGATGCAAAGGCTGCGGATTTCGGCACTTCGATAGAAGGCCAGCAAGAGTGCCAGTACGGAAGTCCTACAAACATTACAATCCCAAGACAGTCCTCAATTCAGCTCGCAAACAGACGAACGCATATTCAATTCAGGAATCACTTCACAAGTCCACAAACACCCTAAACTCAGACTCAACCCCACCCTGCTTCGCAAGCTCGTCGGGTCCCCTGCCAGCCTTGTGAGGGCTCAGTGCTTGCCCTGAGAGCCATCGGAGAGGACACCCGTCTCGCCCTTGAGGCACCTGTTTTTGACTTTCGGCTTGAAGGCTTGCCACGTACGTTCTTGGCGCTCAGGTCTTGGGACACGAAGGTCAAAGGGTGCAGTGACGGCATTGTGAAGAATTAGGTGGTCAGGTCCGGGACTTCGTGTTGGGACCGATTGGCCCGCCCCTCTTTATGAACGTTTGTCGAAGATGTTGCTGCCATGCCCTCCACCTCCCTCGCCTCTTCACTTCTCGCCCTTCCCAGCCCAGCCCTACAAAATCACTCAGAGCCAACGTAGACACATCCAAAGTGAGAGCTTTGCGGCTGGTGCCGAAAGTTCAGGGGCTCGCATCATTAAGAAGGCAAGGGTCAGAATACCAGGGTTTGAAGCTCAGGGCAATCTCTACCTTACTTGTTTCCATGACCAAGGACAAGAACAAGAGTAGACGGAACCAGTTTTTAATTCTCAACCACTAGCAAACCATGAACCTGGCGTCTCAGAGCCCGACTTTTCTGCGCACGCCTTGACATTCTCTGCCTGGGCGGTTTCACCTAAACCCTTTCGAGCCAACAGCCTATGGACAGCTCTCTGACTAAGACCGTTCAGCCTTGCAATAAAAAACGCTTACAATCCAAAGCCTCCGGCCCTAGCTGTTGTTTTGGACTGTGAATACTGGCCTCCTGCATTTTTTGTCACCTCTCCTTGAAAGGGATATTCTCATCCAACAGCAAGGTGTTGCGGGTGTACAGTTCGCTCTCCAAGGAAACCCTAGCCAAGGCCTGTCGTTGCTTGCAGCATTGATTGTCACTCTGAATCCGAAATTTTGAGAAATTGAGGTCTGGTTGCTGCTCCCTCTCCCCCTAAAAACTTGAACACGCCGAGGGATACCACGGCGGGGCTATGTTGAGAGTGCATCGGCGCGTGTTGAGACAGCCAGCGTTTCGGAAATTAGGATGAGATAACTTAGGTGGCGTTTCAAGCCACAAACAGAACATGTGTCAAACCTATCCTGAGGATGAAGGCTGAAGTGCAAAGGCAAAGTTCCAATGCTGACTCCCTCCAGGCCATGCGACAGCTCTCCGTCCACAGGTCTGGGTGTGCCAAGCTTTAGCTTGAGTTGTGCTAACTTTCATGCCATGAGCCCCTGAGCCCAAGCTCTGAGATTGAGTGAAGGTTTACATAGAGGTCCGGGTTTAGGGGTTTTAGGAACTAGAAGAACTGTCCGACATCTCCTGCAGCCGCCCAGGTGCCGTGAAGCCAAACTTCTCCAGGCAGGTGCCCCCCGGTGCGGAAGCGCCAAAGACGTTGATGCCCACCTGGAAATATTTATAAGAATCGTGCTCATAATAGTAATATTAATCATATAAATAGTATTAACAACTTCAATGGTATACATACTATTCCTAAAATTAATGCTTCAGGGCGGTGCAGGGCTGAGGCGGCTTGGGGTTCGCTAATCATCTCGGGACTTTCAAGCCCCTGCAGCCCTCTTCTGCTACTGCTAAAGATCCCTTGAGCTTAAGGCTCAAGGGTTTCGGGCCGTTTTGGCCCTCGGGCCCCTCATCCCCGGCTGCGAACGCCTGCGCGGTGGAGAACTCGCCCCAGCCGGAAGTGACAGCCGCCTCGGGAGAGTGGCCCTGAGCCCTCAATGCATGGTTTGGGAGTTTAGGGCCCTGAGCCCCCAGAACTGAAACCTAAGTCACCACAGTCTTCGCATGTCATAGAAGGCTTCCGAAGGGAAGCCTTTCGGGCTTAAGTTCCGCTTGTCTCTGGGTGATGGGAACCTGAAGCTTTTGACTTGGGCATGGCTTTGGAGCTAGAGCCAGTGGGTTCTGACGAGCGAAGCTACAATCGAAAGCTTTTGATAGTTCCTGGCGTTCAAGATTGCCTTCCGAAGTAATGCAGCTTCTCCTTGCGTGACCGTTTGTTCTTAGTGAAGCAGGAGAGCAGGCGCACGCGCGCTCCCACCCACACGCACACCCACACGCCCCGCCCCGAAAAACGCGAAGCGCGGGACTGCCAGAGTTGAGTCTGGCGCTCTCGTTCAACTAAGACAAGGATTGAGGCTGGGGATGAACACACCGACATATTCCGATTATAGAGCCCGAAACAGCTCCCGAAACATCGGAGCTCTTCAATCCTTCAGATTCCGAGCTCAAGATCGTGTACCCCATGTGCCGTCTCACCTCCACGCTCAGGGTGGGGACGCCCTTGGGAAGGATGGACTCCTGCGTAGAGGTCTTTGAAAGCACCCTTGCTAGTCCAACCCGCGAGAAGGTTTCTTTCTTGTCTTCTGCCCTGTGGCAGGGCTCTGCACTGCAACAGCCTAGCATGGGCAGGATCTTCCGTGCAGGTGGCGCGCACTCCATCATCGTAGACCCAAGCATGATGCCTTTACACCGATAACAAGGCTAAAGGGCTTAAGAAGCTTAAAGCCCACGGCAGTCCACGATGCGGTTGCAAGAGGTGTTGGGGGTTCTGGGGTGTAGAGTTTGACGTCCAGGGCACAGACCGTAAGGTGGAATGGCTTTGGACAGAATTGAGAGGCGTTTCTGGGCTCTCCTTGTAGCTGTCCGGCTGAGCTCGGAAGACTTCCACGGAGGGCATGGACACGACGCGGACCTTGGATCACGGGAAGGGAAGGGTTTTAGGAAAGGCTTTCTGGGTATATCAAGACCTTGAGCACTTCTTGCAGCCGACCTCAATACAGTTTTGGCCGAAGGTGAAAGCTCACAGCACTTCCCTCGACGTTGCGGTAGCTACTTATTTCCTGCGGGTTCTCCTGTCCACATCACTTCCGAAGTGGAGTGGTATGCGCATGAGAAGGTTCTGGCCAGTTGCATTCATGCAATTGGTACCTGCCCTGCACAGCACATTCTGAGAGCTCATCTTAGCACCTCCCTGCACTCCCTTATTGCGGGACCAGGAGTTATTTGGATTCAGGGAGTTTTGTGACAGGGGCCAGAAATCGATAACAAGACCGAGAGCTGATGCCGGAAGCCATCTATCTCCATCTTGAGTCTATAATAGGAAAAACAGTAGAAATAGTAATACTAGCAATAAACAAAGCAACAAGAATAGTAGCAATAAGGCGGGTAACAATAAGATTAGCAATACGAATGATAGTGAAAGGGAAACCATTCTTGCCTACTCCCAGGCTTGGCACCCAACCTTCGCGTCCATGGACTTGGCAGCGTCGACGCAGACATGGACCTGGCCGAAAGCAGACTGAAAAAATTAGGGCTTCGGGTTCAGGGCTTGGGGGTAGCGAGTCCCATACCATGGGCCTTTGAATTCTGCCTCGGACGGCTGGATTTTATCGCAGACTTGCTCCATGACAAGCAAACCGTTTTGTCACACTTATGCAGCCCGTGAAGGTATACATTTTTTGAGTTGGACCATTGGATGATTTGAATGACGTTTTCATGATTTGAGCCATGTCTGGCTACAGACACAAAAGCTCCTGCAAAGTCAGAGCGCCGGCCGTCGGCCGTCTGTACAAAGAGCCCACTATACCGCTGGCCCCATAAGGGGCCCCCCCCAAGCATCCTTGGCCCGCTAAGCCCTAAGCCCTAAACCCTAAACTTGAACCCCGATGGCGCAAGTGCACCCAGGTCGTTCGCCCGCCTCCCACAGCTCGAAGGTCGGTAGCATCCACGATGCGCCCGGTGGCATCAGTACTGGTCCCTTACTAAACTCATTACCCTCCAGGCCCCCGCCCGAAAACCCAAAAATCACCCCCTCCCCAGGACCCCCCTTCTGGGACTTTTCTGGGACCCCCCTGAAAACCTGCAAAATCCTTCCCTGTGTCGGGTGGCTCTCCTACCCAGTCCCAAAAGAATAGGTTTGGGTGGCTTTGCCGCCTCGGACAGCGCTTTCGAGCTTGTTCCAAAGCCTAACCTTCACAGCATCTACGCCCTATCACAGCAAACCCTAAACCCTAAACCCTAAACCATTCGATCGACCTCGGAGCCTGTGCCAATGATGATCACCTCTGGGTCGGAGCACTCCACCACCTCATAGGCGCCTGAAGCAGATCTAGGGGATAGAGTGCAATGGCTGCTGGTGCATCCGGAACAGGGTTTAGGGTTTAGGGCTCAGGGCTTAGGGTTTAGGGTTTCCAAGAAACAACGAGGCTCAGCGGAACAAGGCCCAGGCCCTTGAGGGTGTTCTCGATGGAGGAGTTGGGGAGGTTCGGAAGTGCCTGGCTCAAGAATGGCTGTAGGTTGTGCATGTACTGGTTCGCCACCAGCTATTCGGGTGATGGGTGCATCGTGCGCACATGGGTCGTAAGCAAAGTTTTCTTACAGCGTCGAAATATATAACAGGCCTGGACAGGTCTTCTCAGCAGGGGCAAGGGTTTGTCGGGCTGAAGCTTGCTAGGTTGGGTTTAGGGTTTAAGGGTTTAGAGTTTAGAGTTTAGGGTTGAGGGTTGAGGGCTGAGGGTGCTGATGGTTGAGGGTTTCGGGTTTAGGGTGTTGGGTTGGGCGCACCCTGAAGCTGTTTCAAACAGGCAGGGAGGCGGAGACTACTACAGTTGGGAAGGACCGATCAACGGTGGGGTGGTCTGAATCACGACGCCTGATTTGGGCCCATGTTTTGCGAATCGGTCTTCACGCCAGTGATTCACCTCACCCACTTCACCTGGCCCGAGTTTCCGAGCCACCAGAGAATCCTGCAGGTCTTGCAAAGTATCCAGGAGCGCCCACCCCAAAGAACCCCTGCCAACACCACAGAGAATCTTTGCAGAGAATCCTGCGAAGCATCCCTGTAGTGCCCACACTCAGACATTCCCTCAGAAAATCACACCCTAGCACCTGGAGTACCTCTGCAATTGAGCGGTGCGCAGGTAGCTTCTGCTTGCCCAGGCTCTGATTCAAGGAGTTCTGATTGGAGCTTCCACCGACGCTGAAGCCGCAAGCGGGTTTGCAGATGTTTGAAGTGTCAACAGGTTTCACGAACGTTGCCTGGCGGGAGAAGGCCATCATGGTCGGTCGGGAGTCGTTCTTGGAGCGCTCGACTGCATACCTCGCCACTGTGATGCAAGAAGAGATTTCCGTCCATTCTTGGTGAGGCCCCCATACCTGTTTGCTTGCTGTGCTGCAGAAAGTGCTTCGGTAGCAAAGCTTTGTTTCATGCAATTCTTTGGGACACCCAGGCTGCTTGGCAACCTCATCTGAAGTTCTCGGAGATTCTCGAATGTACCATAAATTCTGCACTCAACCCTAAACCCTAAATCCGGAACCCAAAACCCACAACCCCAAACCCCTAAACCCCTAACCCCTAAACCACTAAACCCCGAAGTGTCCGCATGGCATCCTGCATAAACCCCTACACCCCTAAACCCTAAACCCTCCGAAGCTCGCACTTGTAGGCGCCGGCGGTCTCGTTGCCATCGGCTGGTCGCATGACCTTGGCGCTGCGGAGACTCCGCCTTCCGACTGTTTTCGTTGTTTTAATTTTGTTTTCTTCTTGCTTTTTGAGTTTATGTTTTGTGTGTTTTGGTTGTTTCTTGTTTTTGTTTTTTTTTTGGGGGGGGGGGGGGCGGGGGGAATGAACCCTTAAAAGATGTTTATGGTTCATATACCCTTTAGGGTTCATCTACCCTTCAGGGTTCATACATCCCAAAGGGTCTTTTCCCTCAGAGGGGTTATAGTAGTGTAGGGGGGGGGGTCTGTTGTGTTGTGGGACCCGTTGAGGGCTCGGGAGTCGGGACAAACTCCGCCCGTCTGTGCCAGCTGTTGCTAAAACAAGTGCATCAAGCCCGGCGCCAAACCCCTTAAGGAGCCATGACACACGATCTCGGGACCTGCACATGTGCTGCTCAGAGGTGTGCCAGCTCCGGTCGTTACATACGACACACGCAGGCAGAGAATGCACATCCTCGACACCCTGAACACTTAAAGGCTTAAACCCCTCAATCCTAACCCCAACAAGCCCCGCAGGGTTCTCTGAATTGTCCCTCAAACCACAAGCCTCACAAGCGCCGCTTAAGCCTAACTGAACCTCAAGACTTTCCAATTCCTGAGCCCCCGGGCGGTCAGGTCGGGGATCAGTCGCCTAGGAGCATGTGCGTGAGTCAACAAACATCTGGATTGTGGGCTTCAGGCGAGTCGGATGAAAGCGTCAATGATTCTGCTGATGCAAGTCGACACCAAGCTGCAGGGAAGGGATGGTCTCAATGGGCTGGTGCGTGGGACCATCCTCGCCTGTCATCTGTCAAGGTGGTGGAGGGATGTTCTGGGTTGTGCATACCTCTGAGTTTGGGGCATCATGAGAGTTGCTTCCTATCTTGTCGGTAGTGCCGAATGTTGTGAATCGTTTTCATGCTTCTGCAAAGTTCAAGGGGCTTGCGACCTCTTCGCGCATCGGGTCTCTTGCGACTCTGCGAACCCTCAATCCGGCACCCCGTACTGAAACTTAGTAGAATTCCCGAAAAAACCAAGAAAACCAAGCCCCACTCCGTAAAACCCTCACAGGGCCTACGGCAATGGAGTCGTGCGTGGTCACGAAGATGGTGCCTGCCTGGGAAAGGGCGGCAATACCTCAGCTGGCTGGGAGCTTGGGCTGGAGGAGAAGTCTTTTTTTTGAGCATTCTCAATCCCTCGCGCAACCCAAAGTCCTAAATTCCAAATCCATGGTGTTAGGCTTCTGACCCCGAGGTCGCACTCAGGGGAGCTTTGCCGTTCTGATCTATGCCCCAGGGCTTCTGATGCACATCAAAGGATTTAGGTTGACATGAGCTTGGCCTACCCCCTCGTTGACGGGCACTTGCACGCAGGGGGGCGGATGGCCGAGCGCATGTAGTCCGTGAAGATGGTGAAGGTGGCGCAGTAGGGGATGATGCCTTTCGGGGCCGGGGTGCATTTTAGCATTGGGGGAGGGCTTCCGGACGCACTGCGGGATTGCCATACCCATACTTCTACTTGCAACCGATGGCCGCATCGATACCAGGGTAACTCAGGATAAGTCAGGCATCCACCCTAGAATCCTCGATAGGTACGTAAGGGGCTAAGCTCAGCTCCGGCACCTGTCTTGTCCAATGACAAGGCGTTGCACACAGCGCCCATGCCGAACTCACGAATGCCGAAGCGGAAGTTCCTGACTCTTCGGACCGATGGTTGGTTCATTCTGTGACAGTTCTGGGGAGCTATTAGTCGAGATGGTACTGCGAGAGCAAAACCCAGCAAGCTCCGCGGCATCAGAAAAGGATAGGTGAGTGTAGGCTGGCTTGTGCCCGGTAATGAAAATGTCAAACCCCTGGATGAGACATGGTCTGGGTGTAGAGCCGCGGGCCTCTCAGAGTAGCTGTCCTTGAGGAAGTCGCCAGTGCACTTCCTCGGAGCAGCACGAACTGCCCAAAGCAAGAATAGTGCTAAGGCAGCCAGGGTCCAGGACTTTAGGAGGCTTAGGGTTTAGGGTCCAGGGCTAAGGGGGTTAGCTTGATCCTCACATGCCTTAAATTCTTTTTGGGCTCAGGACTTGGCGAAGCTGATGCGAGGTGCGAACCCTTTGAGCTCGTCACGCACTTGCTGCAACACTCTCGGCAGCAAATCAGCTTGAGAACCCCACCTCCTATCCCCTCCTTACCCTTTCAGAGTCTCCTTCTGGGCACCCAGATGGACCCTAAGCCAACACCAGAATTTCGTGGCAAACGTCATCAGGGTCATGTTGGAGGGCGCAAGGTCGGCGGAGCCACCCATGAACTCCGGCAGCACCGGGGCAATAGCGTTCAGGCAGTCCTGGAAAGGCACTTGGGCGACTTGGGGTAAACTTTGATTAGCCGACAAACCCAGCTAAATGCGCAACAAGGATGTGGAGTCATGGTGGCTTGCTCGGCCGCTGTAGGGTACCCATGCAGAGGATCGCAAACTTTACCTGGACTCTCTGGGTCAGGTCTGTGCCAGGGCTGTGTGCTGTGAGTGTCGATGACAAGACAAACAGCAGGGCGTAGCAAAAAAGTCTTCAAAGTGATGATGTGGTGAAGCCGGTCTACTTGAAGTCAAAAGTATATCCTGCACAGACCCGAACTAGCCGGTTTGTTGTCATGAACTGTGAGCGATGAAAGCTCCACTGGCACTCCATTACTAAATCTTACATGCCTCGAGAGGGAACGATTGCAAATGGACTCCGAAAAGCTGCCCATGTCCTGGGAGTGCAAGCGAGTAGCCTGTGCGGAGGGAAACGAGTGTGGTCTTCCAAACGTTCCAAACATGCGTAGCTTGGCTTTCTTGGCCCACAAGCTTAGCACGCTACCTCGCTACCTGTTGGAAAAAGCGCGGACACGCAATCAGGTAGGGTGGTGCCGGCCTTGCCCGCATCCTCCTCAGTCAGCTTGGGGAGGCACTCGTCCCAGTTGTCTGGCAGCTTCCTGTTGAGCACCTCTCCAACGCTTGGGAAGTCGGGTCGAGTTGCTTGGGAGTCAATCTGGTTGGCATGTTGCAGCTTTGGGTTGGTGTTGTTTTTGTTCCTTCTCTTGCCATGAAGGCTTTCCTCGCAGTGATTCCAGCATCGAGGCTTAATAAGAATGGCTTGCGCGGCATCGAACATCACTGGGGATGTGGATGCGGGTCTCAGTCGGTTCGCCGGCACGCCGGCCCGAGTTTGTCGCCCGAGTTTGTCGCATGGGAAAATAGTTTGGCCAGGTCCTCGTGCCGCTGTTCTCATCACGCCCCGACCAAACAAGTCTCAAGGGGTCAGGTATGGTCAGGTCTGCATTGACAAAGCTCAAACTCTTGCGTCCTGGGTCAACCCCAAACCCTAAAACCCGAAACCTCTGAAGGTGCCCCTGATTGCTTTGTCCCGGCGCTGCGCGCTCGAACTGCGCGGCCAGCTCGGGCTCCTTCTCCTGGGTGAGGTAGGAACTAAGGAAAA